TTATAATCGACTCTGCAGGTGTTTTCATGCTTCACTGAGAGAAGCTTATTTGAATATCTAACATGAAATACTTTAGAGAAGTTGACATTTCATACAACGTGACATTCTCAAGTCTTCCTAAAACATTTTTTTTTTCAGCATTTCAAATTCTTTTATAACTATTGAATTATAGTTCATTTAGACGTCATAACCACCCCATGTTATTTGAGAGGCCACATGCTATTAGTAGAATATTTAATGGAATATTTGTACTTTTAAACATTTATTTGTCACAGCAGGACCAAGAAGAGTATCAAAGATAAAAGCTTTTATTTCAGATAAAAGAGAAAAATCATAGCATCTCTTGAATGAATTAAATCAGAGAAGCAGAAGTGAGACACGAGCAGGAAGGCTGCAGCAGATCTACTGTGAGCACTGATCTCTGGTCAGTTGTCGAGTGACGGCAGGCTGGCCGCTGCGTGTGGCCTCACAGCTCACTGAGACGCTCTCCATCCACTGCTGCTCAGAGAGAGTCAGGCTGCTGCTCCAGCTGTACAGACCGTCCTCCTGCAGGAGCCCAGCGCTGCTGTCCTGAGACCTGCTGCTGCTGCCGTCCACCGTCCAGCTCAAGCTCCAGTCTGACGGGAAGCCCCCGCTGGCCACACACACCAGTGTCGCTGTGCTCTTTGATGAAATCTCTGTGCTGGACGGGGGCAGGACGCTCAGTTTAGGAGGAGTGACACCTGAGAAAAAAGCAGAGGAGCAGGACACCAGATAACTCTCTTAACAGACATCTGAACACATTTTATTACAGAAAGTCAATGTAAACTGATCATTTACTGTTTACTGTACCCTTGTGAAAAAGAAGTGCACTTAATTGTATTAAATTAGTCGTGTACTTTAAATCTTAAAAGGAATACATAATAAAACAATAATACTTGCAGATAATGTAATATTAATGAAATAAAATGTCACTTTAAGTGTACTTAAAGAGAGCACACTTTCATGACTTTCTTAATAATGTCAAATTAAATGTTTTACTTAAAGTACATTTTAAATCATTATGTTTTAATAATCTTCTGCCGTGCTTTGAAGAAGTACACTTCTTTTGTTGACTAACATACTACACAAAAGTATTTGATTATAATTTTAACTATAGTGTTTTTTTATATATTTAAAGTTAATTGATTTTAAACTTACTAAACTGCAATGCTTTTCATCATACCAAATGTGCAATTACAAATATATTGAAGTACATAGAAGTTTCAATAGAAATGACAGTATATTTCAGTTTACTATAATATAAGTAATTATGAAATTACATATACGGATGTACTTTTGTCCTACTTAAGTGGGTCAGCAGTCTACTGTTCAACTAATTGCATTTAATATCAATTTAAATTATAATAGATAAAAAAAAAAAAAAATGCAATTAAGTGTCCAAAAACATTACATTCAGATCATGCTTTATTGTATTATTTTAAAGTGTATTGTTTCCATAATAAGTAAAGGTATGATGAAGTGCTCTGTTTCAAGGGAGTAGTAAAATACATTTAACAAATGCCAAGTTGGCAGGCTTAAATGATAAACTGTAATCTGAAACAAATCCATTAAAATATCTTTTGGCCAAAACAATTTATGACAAAATATGCTGTATGACAAAATGCTCTAACAGCATGTTAGTAGTAAAGACGTTTATATTATGTCTTCGTAGTTTTACTCTCAAATGTAAACCTACACTGAGAAATATTTACTGCTAGCATATCGAATAGAAAATATGTTTTTGCCAGTACAAATGAAAACATTTAAAGTATAATTTGTAATAATATGACTATATTGTGTTGTATTAAAAGCATTTGAATATTTACTTACTGCCAACATCCAGTCTGGTGCCGCCGCCGAAAGTTAATCACAGTGATACAAACTAATAGAGCAGCTGCACAAAAACCTCTGTACGCTTCAGCAGCTGCACAACAACTGCTGTACTTATATTTGTGATCAAACCCATTTCAATAATAAAAAACTATTACTTGCATTTTTAGAAAAGAAAAAAGTTGTAATATATATTACTGCACATTTAAACATTACAATCTAAACACCAGCTGATGGTAAACTACTGAATGCTCATGAAATATCATCAGAATATCCAAGAAAACGCTTGAGATATATCATCTGATACTAATACGAAGTCTTTGCTTTTGTGGAAAAATTTTACCGTTAAATTCACGGCCATTTTTTACAGTGTACATTTAATGACTGTTTAAAATGAATTTAGTTTGAAACTCAATATCTGACACATATGTGACACGTTTTCTCTGAAAGGAAGCAGCTTTGAATAAGTGCACCACTCCTCTGTTTAAGACTGACTGCCATCGCTCAGGACTCTAAACAGCAGCTCTCCTCTGTTCTCTCTCAGTCCTAGCAAAGATGACTGCAAACACTCTGGTGATCTGCTCTCTACTGCTTTCTCTTGCTGGTGAGATTACAGTTGAATATTCAGCGAGTTATGAATGTTTTTTCTCATTTTTCTCATGTGTCATCTGTTTGATTGTAACAATGATGGCAGGTTGTTCAGCTGAGATCATTCTGACTCAGAGTCCGTCAGTGGATTCGGTGTCTGTGGGAAGCAGCATCACTCTCAACTGCAGATCCAGCAGTGACAGTTTTACATCTAGTTTAGCCTGGTATCATCAGAAACCCGGACAAACACCCAAACTCCTGTTCTCTGGTGTTGGTAGCAAAGTGTCTGGAGTTTCTGATTGATTCACTGATGGGAGATCAGGAACAAACTTCATGCTCAATATCAGAAACGTCCAGTCTGAAGACGCAGGAGATTATTACTGTCAACAGTATTATGAACTGCCATGAACACAGTGATAGAGAGTCGTACAAAAACCCCTTCAGTAAAAGAGGAACTACTGATTTAGACACACACTGCACACATAGGTTCCCTAAAGAACCTTTAACATCCATGGAATCATTTCTTTCCATGAAAGGTTCTTTATAATAGTGGGAAAAGGTTTTTTTAATTTTTCAAATGTTCTTAAAAGGCTGGTGTAAAATAAATAAATAAATAAATAAAAACGTCCTTAGTTCACTGCTTCTCAAACCTGTCCTGGGGACCCCCATTAGTTCACATTAAGGGTTTAAAGGTTCAAGGTTCGTGGTTCATGGTTTGGGACATATTGCGGTTCTGGTGTCACATTTTCAGTACTGATTTGGGGGTGGGGGTAAAATTACATATTACTTTCATTTTTTTTCTGTAAATGTAAGAGACACTTTACAATAAATTCATTACAGTTACGTTACAGTTGTTCTCGAAACAAATAAAATTCAAGGTAAATTGAAGTCCAACATTAAATACATATATATTAAAAATACATATTTTAGTAAATGTCACTGCACACCATTCTGTTGGGCCGTCCCACTCTCCTTTTGCCAAACCCCCAGACAACATCGCGTCCATGCCATTGCTGAGCAACAACAACACCGAAACATGTCGAAAGGTTAACTTTAATCACGAAACCAGATCGACCTGTAACGTTATACTCTCACTCAAAGGATGGACGATAACTTTGATAAAGAATATCTCTTTGGTTTTGAGACTTTAGTCTTTGCAACTTCAGGGATCTTATTTATTCATGAACAGCTTGTAACACTCCAAAGAGAAAGGAAAACTTGAAATCACATCATATGACCCCTTTAAGCTCATTATGTAGCCGAATCTGCACTGGGTTGAACGGGCCGCCTCCAGTTTCCCCTTTGTTTTGCTACCTCCAGCTAGCTCTGTGACGTCGGCTGACCCTAGTTTCCTGTGGTTACGTGCATCACTCAGAAAACAACAGACCAATCAGAAGAGAGGCTCATGGATATTAATTAGACAGGCCAAAATCGACAGTTCACAGCAGAGCTCCTGAGAGAGGAGCTGTAAAAATATATTGAGATGGTTGTTGGTACTTATACCGCAAATATATATTCTTAAGTCCATCAAACCTAAAATAAAACTCCAGAAAGGTGTACAATATGTCACCTTTGAGTCTCATTTAAAAAAATAAATGGTTTGCAAAATAGAAAGTGCACTGATTGAAGTTCAGTATTTACATTATGTTGAATCCATTGGAAATCAATGCAACAGAGCCTTATAACTTCGGTGAGGCCGGTCACACAGGATGAAGCTCAAATCATAAATGAATCTAGAGATCCGAAATCTTCATAATCTATTTTGTTTATTTATATAGCAACAGGACACAATAGCTAAATTTACAAGATAATTTTTCCTCTACTCGTTGACACAGCTGCCTCTTCACGGAGACAAATGGACATCTTCTTTTTCTACACTTTGCTCCTGTATTCGACAGCGCTATCTAGCGGTGTACATTAACATTTCTTCATTTAGTAGATGATTTGATCCAAAGAGACTTACAGTTGAGGGATACAACAAGTGATTCATCATAGGATGCAATAAACACGAGAAGTGCTAGTAATACAAGAGTTCAGTTAAAATAGTAAAAGCTAGAACAGGAAGGGATAAGGGATAAGGGATAATGACAGTATAGACATGGGAATAGTAAAGCAGGATGCAGTTACATGTTCACGGAAGAGATGCGTTTTCAGTTGCTCCTTGAAAACATGCAAACCCGCATGATCATGCTGTTTTTGCATTATGATCATTAAAGGTCAGCTGATCATCAAGGGTCACCTCAAGATTACAAGTTGGATGGTAACGTGTTTTAATGATAGAGTGGCTGGGAGGATGAAAAGCTATGTTTTAGCTAGGTTAAGTTGTAGGTGATGTTCTTTTATCCATGTCGAGATGTCCACCAGACAGTTTGAGTTTGGCTGTGAACTTGCAGAACACTCACACAAACGCAGATAGACAAGCCTCTGCTGTGTATTTTTTTATGCTCTGCTCTGCTCTGGCATCAGCTCTGAGTTCATACCCCTCACACCGGAGAGAGCTGGATCTGAGCTACAATCACCCAGGAGATTCAGGAGTGAAGCTGCTCTCTGAAACACTCAACCATCTGGAAAAACTCAAGTAAGTTGAGCAGAAACAATCATCCTGTCAGCTCTGTAAATGAGAAAGGTTGAGTTTCCCATTTCAGTTCCCACAATGAAAGCAAAAATCATAGTTCATTTAATAAAGTTAAATGAACCCAAAATAGAATTGTATTTTCTCTTTGTTTTCTTTGCTAAAACAGATCATCCACATCCTTTGTTAGAACTGAGCTTAATCTCAGTACAAATGTGTACCAAACTGAGGGTGGCGAACTGTACGATTATTTATCGATTTATTTATTTTACCGAGAACTAGTATACCCCCAATGCAGTTTGGATTTCTCCCTCATCAGTCACACCCAATCCAAGTCTTGCCTGTACTAGTGAGCGGATTAGTTAAAACAGATGTGTTGGATGAGGGAGACATCCAAAATGTGCTGTGGTCCCCAGGGCAGGTTTAAGAAGCACTTTAAAAGATCATGTTAGTATAACATTCACTCTCTAGTCTGTTCCAAAAAATTGGTCCAAAAATCAAAATCAAAATCTTACTTAATTAAAAGTAAATTATGTATATCAGGGCTTTTTCAATGTTTTGCAGACTTTAGTTCTAACCCTTATTAAACACAACTGTAACTTGCAAGTAATTGAGAACACTAGGACTAGCTTGTGTGAATGTGTTTGGTTAGGGTTAAAGCTAAACTCCGAAGGACACTGGTCCTCCATGGCTGGAGTTGAAGATCCTTGATTGGACTCCAGTGAGATGCCATGAAGAAATCGAAGGAAAAAATCCAGGTGTACATTTTCACTCTTCAAAGTTTTATCCACTGCTTCCTTCAGAAACGTATTCAGAGGAACATCCTCACACTGAGTTCTGGACTTTCCTGTCAGGAACATTTTCAGAACCTCACTGTTCTTGTGTAAATAGCAGTAAAACACATACAGTGCTGCAAAAAACTCCTGAAAGCTCAGATGTACAACGCTGTAAACCTTCCTGTGATAAATCACAGATTCCTCTCTAAAGATCTCAGTGCAAATCCCAGAATACACCGAGGCGTCAGTGACAGCCCGTTCTTGAGGGGGCCCCGCGGCGATTGCGAATGGACCGAGGGGTGCCCCGCTCCCTACCTCGCACCGGGCCCCATGTAAGATAAGGATCATTTTAAATGAAATATATCAAATAATCCTTAGATTACATAATGGTATGAATGTATAATTTATCTGGGTTCCTGCACATGTAGGTGTGAAAGGAAACGAAGAGGTAGATCTTTTAGCAAAACAATCTCTCAGATCCCAAACAATAGATCTACAGGTTAAATCAAGTAACGCTGAAGCCAAGACTATAATAAAGGTACATACACAAAATCTATGGCAGGAATACTGGGATATTAATGATACAGGAAGACATCATTATAATATCCAAAGCAAAGTCGGTGTAGGAAGAGAAATGGGTACAAATCGGAAGGAAGAATAGGACATACAGGGCTCAATAAGACTCTGCATTTAATAGGTAAACACACAAATGGTTTATGTACACATTGTAACCAACCTGAATGAGTAAAACATATAATAATCGAATGTCATGCATATGAAAATAAGAGGATAATATTAAAATAAGTATTTGAAAAACATAAACATATATTTACTTTGGAAAATATACTTGGAGCAGCACTAAGGAAAACATATGTACAGTTAATTTCATATATCTGAAAGAGACAGGTCTACTAGAACGAATATGAAGATCTTTAGAATAGTAGTTTTTTTCTTCTTCTCCTGTTATCTTTCTCAGGCTGGCTGTTGTTCCACACTCCAGTGCAGCAGGTGGCGGTACAGCACGAATTAGCTGGTTGCCAACCGCCAAAAGCGCCTCAGAAGAAGAAGAAGAAGAAGAAGAAGAAGAAGAAGAAGAACGCACAGTAAACTTGCAGAGCAGCCGTTGGACTTCTTCGTTAGCTGTTAACATTCCTATATAAGACAGCGATAAAACCACGCGACTGTGTAGCTTTAGACTTATACACGTCCTAGTTTTGTTGTTGACCGTTAGGTAGTTGATCATGAACGTGGCTAAAAGTGGTTATCGTGTTTTCTCGGCCAACTCTACGCCCGCGTGCACAGAGCTCTCTAAGAAGATTACTGAGTAAGTATGCTACGACCACCTGCTTAATATTTAACAAGGATCTTGATTTGAGATGCTGATCTTGATGTTACAGGAGTGTGTAGTGATGTTATTGAGATTGTGGCCTGTAGATCAGCAGAACAAGCGACAGCCTGGCCTGTTTCTTAATCTCTTTATGTCGATGTCCAATTGTACAAAATTGTGCTGCAGTATACTATGAGGATTTGGACTGATAACTGAGAGAATTCATCTATAAAGTATCCCTATAGGTATGTGGACGTCTGGTTTTAAGTGTACTTACTGTGGAAAGCAAATGCAATATTTTCTCCACTTGAAGAGGGCAGGAGAACTGGTGAACAGTGGGCTATTCATCACATAAGCTGTGCATGTGACCGCCTGCTCTTGGAAGTAGTCTGCATTCATTGCAAACTGTGACTGAAACAATAAAATCTATTGAATCAGGTTGTCATGCAGCTCTGTTTCAAAGTGACTTTCATGATAAGAAACGTTTGGCATACCTGTGTTGATGTCTGCTTGTGTGTGTGTGTGTGTGTGTGTGTGTGTGTGTTTGCGCAGGCGTCTTGGAGTCGAGCTGGGGAAATCTGTTGTTTACCAGGAGTCAAACAGAGGTGATCAATCATGCTTTATTTTTACACACATACTCTGTTGTTGACAGTGACCCTTGGCACCCTGACGCTTTTGACATGGACTCAAATGGGGGAAGTCGTGGCCTAATGGTTAGAGAGTTGGACTCGTAACCCAAAGGTTGCGTGCGGGTTCGAGTCTCGTACTGGCAGGGGAGTGAATGTACAGCACTGTCTTCCACCTTCAATACCACGACTGAGGTGCCCTTGAGCAAGGCACCGAACCCCCAACTGCTCCCCGGGTGCCGCAGCATAAATGGCTGCCCACTGCTCCGGGTGTGTGTTCACGGTGTGTGTGCACTTTGGATGAGTAAATGCAGAGCACTAATTCTGAGTATGTTCACCATACTTGGCCACATGTCACGTCACTTTAAATAGATGTGAAAATCTCGTTCTCATTTCTGTAATCACTTAATTCTTCAAAAAACTTAATCATTATCTGTCTCAAAGTCAGCACAATTCATAACAATAGTGTTTAAGAAATCACACAAAACTTAACGGGTCTCATTCACTAATAATTGCGCTATTTGTATGCACAGGAGAACTACTAACAAAAAATGTCCACCTAATTCACAACATGTCCGTACACACATGAATGTCTTGGTAACCTCGTCCTAATGTTAATGAATTTAGACTCTTCTGAAGCAGTGGCCGTGTGCCCAAACCATCTCCATATAAGGGCTTTCTACACGGCCTTTACTTTACAGCCTTTTCGTGCCTCTCAGCAAACATGTGACGCTCTCTAAAGAGCCATCTGAGAGACATGCAGCAAGCTTCTCAAATAATGCCAAAAGTGCTGTCCTCAAAACCAGTTCAAGCAATTATTAATTCAGTTCAATTCAAGTCTATTTGTATAGCGCTTTTCACGATGCAAATCGTTGCAAAGCAGCTTTACAGAAAATTCAAGTTTCTGCGTTATGTTTAGTAATAGTTTATCAGTGGTGACTATCTCAAGTTGATGTTCATAATATGGCAGAAATTTGCAGTAAAAATCAAGCAGTTAATGTCATGTAATCAAACACAGACGAGAAATGGGTACAAATCGGAGGGAGGAATAGGACATACAGGGCTCAATAAGACTCTGCATTTAATAGGTAAACACACAAATGGTTTATGTACACATTGTAACCAACCTGAATTAGTAAAACATATAATAATCGAATGTCATGCATATGAAAATAAGAGGATAATATTAAAATAAGTATTTGAAAAACATAAACATATATTTACTTTGGAAAATATACTTGGAGCAGCACTAAGGAAAACATATGTACAGTTAATTTCATATATCTGAAAGAGACAGGTCTACTAGAACGAATATGAAGATCTTTAGAATAGTAGTTTTTTTCTTCTTCTCCTGTTATCTTTCTCAGGCTGGCTGTTGTTCCACACTCCAGTGCAGCAGGTGGCGGTAAAGCACGAATTAGCTGGTTGCCAACCGCCAAAAGCGCCTCAGAAGAAGAAGAAGAAGAAGAAGAAGAAGAAGAAGAAGAAGAAGAAGAAGAAGAAGAAGAAGAAGAAGAAGAAGAAGAAGAAGAAGAAGAAGAAGAAGAAGAAGAAGAAGAAGAAGAAGAAGAAGAAGAAGAAGAAGAAGAAGAAGAACGCACAGTAAACTTGCAGAGCAGCCGTTGGACTTCTTCGTTAGCTGTTAACATTCCTATATAAGACAGCGATAAAACCACGCGACTGTGTAGCTTTAGACTTATACACGTCCTAGTTTTGTTGTTGACCGTTAGGTAGTTGATCATGAACGTGGCTAAAAGTGGTTATCGTGTTTTCTCGGCCAACTCTACGCCCGCGTGCACAGAGCTCTCTAAGAAGATTACTGAGTAAGTATGCTACGACCACCTGCTTAATATTTAACAAGGATCTTGATTTGAGATGCTGATCTTGATGTTACAGGAGTGTGTAGTGATGTTATTGAGATTGTGGCCTGTAGATCAGCAGAACAAGCGACAGCCTGGCCTGTTTCTTAATCTCTTTATGTCGATGTCCAATTGTACAAAATTGTGCTGCAGTATACTATGAGGATTTGGACTGATAACTGAGAGAATTCATCTATAAAGTATCCCTATAGGTATGTGGACGTCTGGTTTTAAGTGTACTTACTGTGGAAAGCAAATGCAATATTTTCTCCACTTGAAGAGGGCAGGAGAACTGGTGAACAGTGGGCTATTCATCACATAAGCTGTGCATGTGACCGCCTGCTCTTGGAAGTAGTCTGCATTCATTGCAAACTGTGACTGAAACAATAAAATCTATTGAATCAGGTTGTCATGCAGCTCTGTTTCAAAGTGACTTTCATGATAAGAAACGTTTGGCATACCTGTGTTGATGTCTGTGTGTGTGTGTGTGTGTGTGTGTGTGTGTGTGTTTGCGCAGGCGTCTTGGAGTCGAGCTGGGGAAATCTGTTGTTTACCAGGAGTCAAACAGAGGTGATCAATCATGCTTTATTTTTACACACATACTCTGTTGTTGACAGTGACCCTTGGCACCCTGACGCTTTTGACATGGACTCAAATGGGGGAAGTCGTGGCCTAATGGTTAGAGAGTTGGACTCGTAACCCAAAGGTTGCGTGCGGGTTCGAGTCTCGTACTGGCAGGGGAGTGAATGTACAGCACTGTCTTCCACCTTCAATACCACGACTGAGGTGCCCTTGAGCAAGGCACCGAACCCCCAACTGCTCCCCGGGTGCCGCAGCATAAATGGCTGCCCACTGCTCCGGGTGTGTGTTCACGGTGTGTGTGCACTTTGGATGAGTAAATGCAGAGCACTAATTCTGAGTATGTTCACCATACTTGGCCACATGTCACGTCACTTTAAATAGATGTGAAAATCTCGTTCTCATTTCTGTAATCACTTAATTCTTCAAAAAACTTAATCATTATCTGTCTCAAAGTCAGCACAATTCATAACAATAGTGTTTAAGAAATCACACAAAACTTAACGGGTCTCATTCACTAATAATTGCGCTATTTGTATGCACAGGAGAACTACTAACAAAAAATGTCCACCTAATTCACAACATGTCCGTACACACATGAATGTCTTGGTAACCTCGTCCTAATGTTAATGAATTTAGACTCTTCTGAAGCAGTGGCCGTGTGCCCAAACCATCTCCATATAAGGGCTTTCTACACGGCCTTTACTTTACAGCCTTTTCGTGCCTCTCAGCAAACATGTGACGCTCTCTAAAGAGCCGTCTGAGAGACATGCAGCAAGCTTCTCAAATAATGCCAAAAGTGCTGTCCTCAAAACCAGTTCAAGCAATTATTAATTCAGTTCAATTCAAGTTTATTTGTATAGCGCTTTTCACGATGCAAATCGTTGCAAAGCAGCTTTACAGAAAATTCAAGTTTCTGCGTTATGTTTAGTAATAGTTTATCAGTGGTGACTATCTCAAGTTGATGTTCATAATATGGCAGAAATTTGCAGTAAAAATCAAGCAGTTAATGTCATGTAATCAAACACAGACGGTGAACACTATTAACAGCAATGATTATATGTTGCGATCAAACTTATAGCAACATTTGGTAGCTTTCCACTGAAACTTAACGGGTCTCATTCACTAATAATTGCGCTATTTGTATGCACAGGAGAACTACTAACAAAAAATGTCCACCTAATTCACAACATGTCCGTACACACATGAATGTCTTGGTAACCTCGTCCTAATGTTAATGAATTTAGACTCTTCTGAAGCAGTGGCCGTGTGCCCAAACCATCTCCATATAAGGGCTTTCTACACGGCCTTTACTTTACAGCCTTTTCGTGCCTCTCAGCAAACATGTGACGCTCTCTAAAGAGCCGTCTGAGAGACATGCAGCAAGCTTCTCAAATAATGCCAAAAGTGCTGTCCTCAAAACCAGTTCAAGCAATTATTAATTCAGTTCAAGTCTATTTGTATAGCGCTTTTCACGATGCAAATCGTTGCAAAGCAGCTTTACAGAAAATTCAAGTTTCTGCGTTATGTTTAGTAATAGTTTATCAGTGGTGACTATCTCAAGTTGATGTTCATAATATGGCAGAAATTTGCAGTAAAAATCAAGCAGTTAAT